AATCTCATGTTGAGTTCTTGAGGTCTTCTTTTGATGCCTTTTTTGCTTTGCATTTATATGTTTTGCAAAATAAAGCCTCACTTTTGTTAACTAGTATTTCAGAAAACTTTAAACTTTAGCTAAATTCTTTCAAAGTAAACTAAAACTTTGCCTTTTGAGCGACTCAAACACTACATGACTTTTGGCACGTACAGGAAGCCCTTCCAATGCAGTTCTCGTTTGACATGCGCTGTCAACTTTACTTTTTGTTGCTTCGCCTCTTTTTGATCTCAATGCCTTGCCATATAATAAATATCTTATTAACCTCGTTTGCTCGGTCTGTACCGTAAGTTATGGATCCTCGTTTTTTCCACTTTTTTATGGCCCAAGCGCGTAGCGCGCGGGCCATAAGGCAGTGGAAAAAACTCGGTCCATAACTTACGGTACGGACCTCGCACTCGGTTAATAAGAGCTATTTACTTACTGTGTAGGCAGTTACTCCCGTAAAAACCAGGGCGACATTGACACGTTGGTCTTCCTCGAGAACAGTCACGGGTGCCTCCATTATAACAATACAAACTTGGACACACTGCAAAAGAACATATCAAAATGTCGAAATTATGAATCATGGCTTAGACTCTGACTTCTGCGTTGTAGCAGAATGGTGAGCTTGAGCTTTTAACTAAGATTTCTTCCTTCATTTCATTTGCCCTTGTACGGTTTGTATGTCATATTACTAGATTTTACCATCTGTAGATGTTAAATAGAGGCTTTAAATCAGAGGTTCACAACCTCTATCGAGTTACAACTCACCGTAGCGGCATTGTCTTCCTTGGTAACCAGGACGACAGCGACATACAGCTCTGCCACTGGAACAGACACTTGTACCTCCATTGTAGCAGTTCAGGCTACCACAATCTAACAACAACATAAGAATTTTTAGGGCTTAAAGGGGCACTTGGATGAAAACGCCCCAATTTTTCAGAGTCCGAATAATTGAAGTATTTGTAGATATTTGACTCAATTATGATTATGTAAATCAGATTAGTGAAAAATTTCGCCTGGCAGCCACTTGCAGTTGAGAAATTTTGGGTTAAAAAAGAAAAGAATAATAGGGTTGAGTAAATGACGTCATTTACTCACAATTCATATGCTAAATAAAATTGATGATTTTATCCGACACATTTTACTGTGAAGAAAATATGTTGCCCCTTTAAGTATGTGGTTTGTAATCATTTTTAAGAAAATGAAAGTACATGTCAAAATTTATGTAAATAAGTTTATTTCAAATCTTAGAAATCGATATCACTTACAAAACTGGCATTGTTTTCCATAGTAGCCACGACGACAAGAACAAACTTCGCGACTATCATTAAAACATCTGAGGGTTCCTCCATTGAAGCAGGTCAAATTTCCGCACGCTAAGGATGGAATTTCCAATATATGTAAGGTATGATAAAAAAAAAAAGAATTGCCCAACGTAGACATTAATGTAGAAGGCTCCTTAGATTAGATTGAAMATATCAAAATATTGGATGCATTTGCCTCAAATTTTTGGAACTCGGTCCCATGGCTCTCAAATTTACCATTAATCAATTGTAGCAAAAAAGCCCCTGGGAAAAGAAAACAACATGTCCTTAGCACCAGGGTCACCCCTACTTTCATGGCCAGCGCCATTTAAAAAAATATTGTTCAATCATAATGCTCTTCGCACTTATATTATTGTTAACATTGTCCGTCTACATCGTTATCAAAGCTCTTCCAAGCTCAAGCGGAGCACAATTATTGTCGTAAAGCATCTATCAGGTATAACAAGAACGATTGAACTGGATTTTCAAACTTCACCTACAAAACCGCCATTTTGCCTTGCAGAGGTATATTAGCTATGGTAAAAATCAAGTGTGTACTTGCCACATATAACACCAGCATCTTCATAATGCCTACAGCCACTAACTCCCCAACYTGTAAATCTACACTGGGCTAAAGAGCGTTCAAAACCACGGCAGCGAACATTTGTCATCCATATTGGGCCAAAGCCCCATCCATATCTACCGCAACATGGAGCTGAAATGGCTTTGGAAAACCCAAGCTGACGGCACACAACATGAGCGTCGTACAAATCCCATGAGTTATCACAGATGGTGCCCCATCGTCCCCTGTAGTAGATCTCGACACGACCTTCGTAACGGGATCTTCCTCTAACTAGGCGCACTTGATATACTGTAAATGTAACAACAAAATAGGATTTGACGAACTATTTTTCTAGATAACTGTCCCACCAAACACACATACATATTAAGAGAGAATTCTTTTCGTATTCAAGCGGTGAACGCCAAAAACTATTTTCTTGAAGAAAAAGGCTGTTGTACAAGATTAAAATCTTGTAATTCAGAAAGTTTAACTTGTTTGGAAGTGGAGATGACCAATGAAAGTGGAATCAAAGTGTTAACCCAAAGCCGAAATTTTATTCAAAAAGCACACTGACAGAGCAACATTCTAACACAAATGCAACAAAACATCTTTGTACAATTGAAAATACCACTTCAAACAGGCATTTTATCATAGTACATCAGTTTCTAACTGTTTAAAAAAGGTTTTGARTGTTAACCCAAAACGAAAATTGGGGTCAAAACTCATACGAAGGCCTAGTTTTTGGCGCTTTTTGCCATTATTGCTCGTTAAACAGACAGACATACACATACTCATATGAGACTTGGTAGATCAGTAGTTAGAGCATGGCACCGGAATCGCCAGGGCACGGGTTCAAATCCCGTTCAAGACTCAGACTTTTTTCTGAGTGTTTCAATTTGCAGCTGCATAAGTTGCTTCATATACTGCGAGGATCAGCTCAATTTGATATACTCGTAAGAGTCTAGCATTGAACTTTCGCAAAGTTTCCTTATAAGGGCCGTCTCGTCGTCACATAATGCTTCTCTCTGAAACGCTGCGTCATCATACTTAAAACGCATGCGTAGAAGGCTATAGTCGGTTACGTGGCCCTCGCAGATAATAAGAGGATTTATTCATTATTTATTTGGAACTTACGTTGAGGCCCAGCAGTTGTGGGAAATCGAGTCATTGGTGCATTCGATACTATAGAAAAAGACGAGACAAATATAATATCAAATAGGGTTTATTTAATAATTATAGCGTAATACAAGGCGAGGACCTTGCATAGAACACGGAAAATACAATGCTTTTCAGTCAAATGTCATGACTCCCGCCAAAAAAAAACTGAATGTTTTATGATGTGCATATGACTACATCGCACACCGCACCATTCAATAAGAGGTAGTGCATGGTAGTGCATGATAGTGCATGGTAGTGCATGGTAGTGCATGGTAGTGCATATTGGTGCATGGTAGTGCATGGTAGTGCATGGTAGTGCATGGTAGTTCATGGTAGTGCATGGTAGTGCATGGTAGTGCCTGGTAGTGCCTGGTAGTGCATGGTAGTGCATGGTAGTGCCTGGTAGTGCCTGGTAGTGCATGGCGGTGCATGGCGTTGCATGGCGGTGCATGGCGGTGCATGGCGGTGCATGGCGGTGCATGGCGGTGCATAGTGCATGGTAGTGCATGGTAGTGCAAGGTATGGACATGTTAGCTAATGATAATCCATAACAGTGAGGCCAAGTAGCTGGTGTAGTAGGTCTAGTAGTTGCTTCTTTTATTTTCTAACATTTCTAATTATCTTGCACTAACCTACATTTCTTGTAGTCCAATGTGGACGTCGAGTAGTGGATGAATTATGATTCCAAACTGAAATAAAAATGTATTCAATATGCATCGATAACTTAGACAATAGTACCAAGATGTATTTAGAAATGGACTCCCTATTATTAATTTTCTTCCGAATTTGTTATATTAGAGAGTTTTAGATTTACGTTCACGGCAAACGTGTAACGTCAGTTGACCAGTAAAAAATTCTTTTAAATTACTGAAAAAGAATCGCAAAAAAGTCCAAGTAGTGGAAAAACAAAAGAATATTTGCGCTTGGTGAGAAGGTTTGTAAAAGGTAAAGTAAAATACAGGAAAACTATGAAAACGTGCTCACGTTTGCCGTTTGCGGGGAGAAAAAAAGTCAATCTAAAACTCTCTAATACTGTTGAAGGGGACATCCGAAACAATTATCAAAGTGACATTTATTTACCAAACAACTGAATACATATATGCACTATCCACGAGTCAGTAGCCTAGATTAATTGGGATAGAAAGGCACCCGTGCTGACAAGTAACTTTCAAAAGGAACATAGACCTCGCTTTTTACACTTTCTGTCAAGGACGTCAAGACTGTTTTGAGACTCTTTATATATATTTGAAAAACGCGTTATGTTTGACATTTTTCTTGTGCTACGATTAAAGCAAAAATTAGTTTGGTGATAAAGATTGATAATATAATGAAGCTATCAGATTGCTAGCTAGGCTGAACATCACTTGCGCACTGATATAGGTAACATCATTTCGTTGCACGCTTTTTTGGTGGCTTTATTCAATGAATTCTGCCTTTCAATGTTCACTTTCCTGTGGTCAATTTCAGCAAATCAAATTTTAATTTTCGACGAGACGTTTCATTCATCATATTGCATTGACCAACAAATCAGCGCACGAGTTATTTTATCATAGATACCAATGCAATGGGACCGAGGAATAATTTGAAATTGACTCTTCTAGTAATTTTTTCTATAATATTATGTTTACTGGACAAGCAGTATGGTCATTGTCATTGTGATGATCAATCATTATCCTTATCATCATCATGCTTTACGTCAATGTCATTATCAACCTTATATTTTGATTTTCAACATCGCCACCCCCAACTCCTCAACCGTACAACAACCGCCATTAATATCAAGTCAACTATTACGCCAACCATCTGAATTTATTTTGTATTGTCCACTTAACATGAAGCAGGACCGCTTGGAAAATCAAGGCTCGGAAAAAGCTCTCGTGTAGGGATTTCGTAATAGAGCCACCCGCAAATAGCCGTTTTTTGGAAACATAAATTTTAAAATTCTCACTTACCACAACATAACTGGGGAAAAAATCACTAACCAGGGAGAACATAAAATAAAGGCCGACAAAAAGCAATACGTGCTATCAATAGGTCAATTGTGTGAGCCCCCTCCCTTACGGACCGAAAGAAACAAAAATTGAAACGATATACAAAAGTTTTTGCTAGGAAAAATTCTCCCTCAAAATATG